CAGTACATTCATAAATTACTTCAATAAAAGTAAGAGACAATAAAATTCAGACTAGCTCCGTACAATTTAACAATAATTGCCACTTTGTCCTCATTGGTTTAGTAGACGATTCTAACAAGCAATTTGGAGCCTATATAATCTGTGGAAATTCAGGTGAAAGCAATTAAACAGTTCTAAATACTTTTGGGACAATATTCTGCATTCAGTTCCCAAGTATATATATATATATATATATAACTTTAGGATTTTGGAATTCTTAGTGAGATGGCGTTTAGAATTTGATTCATTAATTTGCCAGGTACAATATGTCGGAAGGTTAGTGGCCGCTGCTTACTAAATGCTCTTCTCACATGGAGAAGGTTTGAGCATTAATAACCATGCTTGGTTAATGTGGCTTCGCGATTTCAACTTTATAATTAGTATAATAATATAGTCGCCTTATCGATTTCGGTAATGGCGACCCATAATAGCTATCTCCTGTCGTGTGCCCTGATGTGACTGGCCATACTGAATTTAGTTTTGAAAATGTGATCACAACTAGAGCAGTAAAGCTGGTTGGCAGAGTTGTACGTGTAAGGATAGGAAGGTTTAGATCTGTCTTTACGTAATAATATAATTAGTAATTAAGTGCCGTAATGTGCACCTCTGCCTACCCATTCGGGGTTAACTCGTCGAGCACCGTCATTGTAGACACAATTATAGAACAATAGGTTGCGGTCTCCGGTGACCGCTTGGTGTTTGACAGTTTAAAAGCATAATGTTATGTAAATAATAATTATAAGCCCAGGTTTTCTCACAATATTTCCTTCACCGGTTGTCTAAATTATCTTAGAAAGTTGAATAAACTCGGAAAAAGTCACATTGGTAGTTGTTGGTGGCTGTTTCAATCTTAAACCATGACATTAGCCGCGGAGGACTTAACGGGTAACCGGGGCTCCGGCTCGACGTGCAGGAGAAGGAACGGGGTGGGTTTTAGTCAGTAAGAGTCTGACACTCCCTCCCGCCTCACCCAGGCGGGAGCAGACACTCGATGATTTTCCCCCCTTAAAAAATAAGCCAAATGTATGAGAGTTCAAGTCCAAGTCCAAGTAATTTCAATTATGTTTAATATAATGTTATAATAAAATAATTACTTGTCCATTAGCAAATATTAATTTCCTATTCTATAATAAGTAGTAAATATTACTATTGTTATGTATAAGACAAAAAAAATCTACCTGATTTGGTTCTATGTATTTTGTAGTTTTGTGTATTGTGTACTAAGTCATCAAATAATATTGTATGCTAAGCCATTGAAGTAACCATATAAAATTTGTTAGTTTCAGTATAAGAAAAATAATTTTAGTAAACAATTTAATTGAACAATTTTAGTAATTTGCATGCCGCAATGACGGCGAAACATGTTGGTCTTTTTTTTAATTTTTATACAACATCTCTGTATTTACCTACCGTGTTTCTGGCAAATAAATATATTATTATTATTATTATAAAAAAAAGCCATGACATAGCAGTCTGTATATTTCTATATAAATATTTTATTTCTTTCAAAAGTAAAAGTAATCTCTTGCAATGATTTCTTCAGGTTTCGCAAAAAGGTCAATTTTCCAAAGCATATATTTTCGATTGATTTCCAAGCCTCCTTAGAAGTGCGTATTTTATGGTAATGGAGGTTCCCTTCCATTAACTTTCCTTCCGTTTCACCGCAAAACTGAAGTAAATACTAAAACCGAATGTTTTATTAATCTCTATGAATAAAACGGTTTGTTCTGATTCGAGTATTGGTACATGATTGGTAGCTGTGTGTATGTAAAATAGAAAATGTTTAAATGTTCGTTTAAAATATTCAACACGTGAACCATTAAAATAACTAAAATAAAAATATAAATAAAATGTGTTTATATTACCTCTATAACTTTTGTGAGGCATACCTAAATTAATTATTATGTTTTTCGGCTTACTCACGTAAGTAGGTTATAGCAGCGCGAAAGTCGCCTCGTCGTGGGTCGTGGAATGCTGATCATAAATATGAGCCTATAGAGGTAGCATGGCTTGAAACTAGTCGAGTTCCTCGTCTAATAATTATGTGAGTAAGCCGAAAATCAACAATTAAATAAAATATGTTTTCATTTAAGTAGGAAGATCCAAAAGGTTTCGTTAGACCTTCCTTCTAAGCTTCGTATTAATTCCTAGTAGGAGACAGGTCAAAAATTGAGGTTTCTTTTTTTGAGTTTTTACTTTGTACTTTAGTCTAATGTCTTCATAATGTAATGGGTCTTTCCCTGACGGAAGTGACACTCATTAACTTCACAATCACTTTGTAAATAGACAAGTCCTTGAGCCTCACAGTTGAAGGGTTTCGACCACAAACGGTTGAAAAGCTTGACTGCCGACATTAAGCAATCGTAGTTTCAAGTTCTTTGAAATAAATAATCATTTAAAGATCTTCTGTTGTTCAATGACTGACAGAAGTGAATAATGTTGTAATGTAGTAAAAAGTATGCTAATCAAAGTAATAAAAACAATGGGAAAATTGTATTAAAATAATCTTTTTAAAATCAAAGTTTAAAAATGGCTGATTCGCATAAGAAGTCTTTTTTATGAGATATGTTGGTAAACGAGCAGATGGATCACCTGATGGTAAGCAATCGGCGTCGCCCATGGACACCTGAAACACCAGAGGCGTTACAAGTGCGTTACCAGCCTTTTAGGAATTTGAGGATTGTTGAGGATTCAGGGATTGGGATGATTGAGGAAGTGGGAAATTGGGCCTCTGGTAACCTCACGCACTCGGTGAAATACAACACAAGCGTTCAAATCATGTCATTTTATGCAAAAAATAACAAATACATACATATTACTACAATCATAATTCTGTACCTAAGTTAAAATAGAGTCGTGTTTCGAAAATTCGCTTTGTTAATCTTGTTTCAACTTTGATAACGTGTTGTAACATGTTTAATCACGCTTTTTAAAGCCGAACTTTCTTGTTTTCAATAGAGTTATAAATTGTTGTGAAATAATATAAACTGTCACTATATTGTTACAAGAGAAAATTTGTAATCTGTTGCTGAAATAATTGTACTTACATCTATTATAATACATTTTAACTCGTCGAGTACCGGTTTTGTAGACACAATTATAGAACAATAGGTTGCGGTCACCGGTGACCGCTTGGTGTTTGACAGTTTAACTTGTTATGCAACAAATAAATAATAGTGGCTTTGGAGGCGCCTTACATGATTATTGATTAGACATGTATAGGAGGCATTATATAGGAAGCAAGACGAGCAGACGGATCACCTGATGGTAAGCGATCAGCGCCGCCCATGGACACCCACAACACCAGAGGAGTCACAGGTGCGTTGCCGGCCTTTTAAAAAGGAATACGCTCTTATCTTGAAGGTTTGAAGGTCGTATCGTATTATTGATATAAGCAATGGATAGATTATTATCGATAAAATTGTAGTGTTTAAAAATCCTAAGTCAAAGTCAAAGTCAGAACTCTGTTTCATACTCAAAATGCTTAAGACGCCTCTGATATATGAGTGCGACTTTTTCCGAGTACCAATGTGACTTTTTCCGAGTTATATGTACTTTCTAAGATTATCTAGACACCACTGACAAACGGTGAAGGAAAACATCGTGAGGAAACCTGGGCTTATAATTTCAAATTATAAGTTTGAAATTACTAACCCACATTGAGCAAGCATGACGATTAATGCTAAAACCCAGAAAAGGCCTTTGGTCAGCAGTGGCCACTTATAGGCTATTGATGATGATAATAGAAATATTATTAGTAAGAAATTGAAACTTAATGTGTAGTTTCCCTGTAATTTATGAGAGAGCACTCTGAAAGGATATTCTAATGAGTATTTATTTTATGTACTGTACAATGTAACACCCAATTTCACTATTTATGTTATGACTCCTATGTAATAGGGGGTGAGCCTATTGCCATATACCGGGCACAATTCCAGACTTCGTGCTACTACTGATATTTTTTTTAAAACCAGTAATACTTTGCCCGACCTGGGAATTGAACCCGAGACCCCTTGCCCAGCAGTCGCACTTGCAACCACTCGGCCAACGAGGCAGTCATGTATGAGAGGCGTTTTAAAAATTAAATTAGGTAACAAATTTTTTTGTGTAAACGAACCCGCAAGATTGCCTAGTAAAACAATTATTTTGAAAATCGAACAGAACTTGATAAGTCCTCTCACGTACAAAAAACGTTATTTTTTTACGAACTCGGATAAGATTCGGAAAGTAAAAGACTGTTTTTCTCTTAAAGTTATCCGGTTTTCGGCCGAAATAAAGATATAGAAGGGACATTATAAGCTGTTGGTATCTCAAGTTGTTGTTTAGCCTTTTTTGTTGGATATTTTGTTACTAAATGGTCTTCTACTTTTGATATATTGCCATGTAAACTTGATAGGTTTTATTTTCTAGGTTTTATGTTTTTATTCTAGTATTTAGTTTGATTTATGAGGATCACTGAGTTCAGAATTCGTGACAGCTTTTCCCTTGAAGCTGGTTACAAAGATGTATTTAGATACTAAGTATTGGAATAACAAACAATCTAAAATTATCAAATTAGTAGGATAGAATTAGGTACCTACCTATGAATGCCGATATTTATAATGAAGAAAAAATGTGACAGCGACCTATCGCGTCCGGCTCTGGTTCAGACCAGAACCAGACCCAAGCGTACTGCGCGACGCGGACCGCGCGCGCCTCAAAGAGCCATCAGACCACCACATATGGGGAACAACAGGGCTGATGCTGACGGAACCGCCGAGGTATTAACGGGTTGCCGCGGCTCCGCTCAAAGTGCAGGAATGAGGGCTGGTTTTCAGTCAGTAAGAGTCAGACAGTCCTTTGTATGCAGTCCTCAAAAGTGACGTCACGGTCGACGGTAACAGCAGTTTACGTCTACGTACATTGTTGCAATAAAAATAAAACAACAGTGTTTATTTAAAGAATTTTTATAGCTAAGTGTCTATAACCGAACAATTTACAATATACATTGTGGAAAAGTGTCAGTGAAACGTATTAATCAATTAAATGATAAACATTAAATCAACACTAGCGTCATAGTGATTCAAACTACCCGATAATAGCAATAATAACAAAATAAAAAAAAAAACTAATAATAACAAAATAATAATCGAGTGTGAATAATTGTGAGTAATGGCTAAGTGTGGTGGATGTGGACAGTTCATTGCGGCGTCGGCTGGCATCCGGTGCAGCAAGTGCACGGGCTGCTATCACCGAGCCTGTGTGGGTGTACCAGCCGCGGCCGCCCCCGCGCCTGGTTGGCTGTGTCCCGGCTGCAAGGCGAAATTGCCTAAGACCGACAATTCCGCAACCCCAGTGAAGAGTGCAGCAGCTGACTTCACGGAGACAAATAGTCCGCCCACCGACACCACTGCGAGTCTGGATCTGGCACGGGAGATACGGTCTTTCAGGGAGGAATTGAGTGCGCTCCGAGCGGAGATACGCGAAATGCGGCAGGAGACTGCTGACTTCAGGGCTGCCATCAGGGGCTGCAACGAGCGCATGGACGAAGTGGAGCACAGGGTGACCAACCTCGAGCAGCGCTTTGAGGCTAGGGACCCGTCATCCTACGACCACCTAGAGGAGACGATAGCTGACCTGAAACTCCAGTTAAACGAGCGCGACCAGGACCTGCTGCTCAACGATGTTATCGTGTCAGGCATTCCTGAATCGAAGGCCGAGAACCCGGCACATTTAATAAAAACAGTGTCTCTAAAGCTGGGGATTGCTCTCGACGATAGGGATATTGTGAACGTCGAGCGTCTTGGCATGGTGCGGCGCAACTTTGTCACGAGTGCATCCCAAGGTGACATAACGGAGCGACCGCGACCACGCGTCATTGCCGTGCGCCTGTCTCGCCGTGCGGTCCGGGAGCAACTGATTCGCGCGGCGCGTGTGCGCCGCGGGCTCACCACTGCAGACCTCGATCTGCCCGGCCAGCCGCGGGGGGTCTACGTTAACGAGAGTCTGACTCGCTCTAACGCAAGGCTCTTTCGTACCACTCGTGAGGCTGCGCAGCGTCAAAAATTCAAGTATGTGTGGACCAAAGAGGGACGCATATACGTGCGGAAGGAGGACGGCGTATCCGCTCTTCGCGTTCGATCGGAAGCCGATATCAGAAAAATATTTTTTGGAGACGGCCCGGTTTGATTATTGAGGGTATCAATAAATACTTTCTTTTCAAAATTTACCCTTTTAAAATTGTTTTTTTGTTAAACTTGCTATATATCTTGCACTTTGTTTACATCACGGTAATAGTAATTAGGTTGTACTTATGTTGTGGACCTTTTGATGTTTTGTTTGGTTTTCTATGTGTAATTTCTGCGGTGTATGTTTATTTCGCGGTTGGTACAGCTTGCAGTGACGTTAATCTGAGCGGGTTCCTAGTTGGCGCGCGCTTGAATGTAATCTACATTTTATTTACACTATACACTATACATTATTTATATTACATACTTTCGTTTACATCTATATATTTTATGTTAAAATGTTTTAAAGGGCGGCTATATTACTATATCGAATTTGTTTATGTTTATTTTACACACTCATACACGTTTCTTTACCTATTAAATAACGGCTACTTTACTGTATCGAATTTGTTTATGTTTATTTTGCACACTCATATACGTTTCTATACCTTGAAAACTCATCCTGACTAACATGATTGCAAAACTCTTTAAGGTTGGACTTTTTAACGCCGGGTCGTTAGGCACAAAACACGATGAATTCATAGCTGCGATGGAGCGCTATGGTGTTGACATTATGGCCATAAATGAGACGTGGCTCAGCGCGGGTGAGGAGGGGCGCGCCCCGTCGGTGCCCGACTATCGGCTGCGACATGTCCCGCGTCCGCTGAGCGTGCGCGGCGGCCGCGGCGGCGGTGTCGGGTTTTATATTAGGCGCGGTTTGAATGTGCGGACGCATTCCCACCCTGCTGACCCCACGCACGCGGCCGTTGAACAAATGTGGTTAGTACTAAATGTAAACGGCTTCAAACTCGCAGTGGGTACTGCGTACAGGCCGCCCTGGTTAGATGTTGACACATTTCTAGATGCATTGACGAGTTCCGTCAACTCTTTATCATTTTGTAGCCATACCGTACTCTTGGGGGACTTTAACATTAATTACTTAAATACATCCGCGTCTGACACAAAAGTGTATAAATTACAAATGTTTCTGGACTGTTTGAACCTTACTCAGCTGGTGCCTACGCCGACACATTTTACAAATAACAGCTCGTCTCTAATCGATTTGGTGTGTACGGACGCAAAGGTTACTAATATCACAGTGGATCCGATCGAAGCACTCGGGGCGCATTCGTTCATTTCCGCAACCTTCCAATTTAAAAAAGAAAAAATACGACCTATGACCATAACTTGTAGAAATATCAAAAGTATTGATACGTATGGTTTCATTGAGTCACTGAACTCGATCAACTGGCAGGTGCCCATGGCATCGCGCGACGTCAACGTTATGGTACACTATCTATGCAAAAATATATTGAGTGTATTTGATTCACTTGCGCCACGTAAGAATGTAACAATAAGGGAAAAATCACCTCCTTGGATCACTGACAACATCAAGTTTATGATGAACCTTCGAGATAGGGCGTACAGACAGTATTTGGATGATAAATCGTTAAATTATAAAAGACAGTATTACTTGGATCTGAAGCGACTGGTGAATAAATCAATTTACTTTGAAAAAGTTGCTTACTATAGGGTTAACATTAATAACAATATAAACAACCTCAAAACGCTTTGGAAAAATTTGAAAACAACTTTGCTGCCTTCCAAATGCGACATGGATCTACCACCACATTTTAACGATCCCGACAAAATCAACGACCATTTTTTAAACGTACCCGGTGAAACTGATATATTGGTATCATATCTTACCTATTTTGAATTTCACAAATTTTCTGACAAAACTTTCAACCTCAAAACCACGAATGACAGTAAAGTTATGAAGATATTGACTAACCTTAAATCTAATGCTGAAGGCTGTGATCACATAACGTTGAATATGTTTATAATGACTGTTCCGAATACCCTTGACATTTTAACAAATATTATAAATGAATCAATTAGAACGTCGACCTTTCCAGAGGATTGGAAGCTTGCAATGGTGCGTCCATTACCCAAAACAAATAACCCCCGCGATCTCAAAGACTTGAGGCCTATTAGCATTTTACCGCTGCTCTCGAAGGTGCTGGAAAGAGTGGTAAATGAGCAATTGTCTAAATATCTCGAGGATAGCGGCGCTCTTCCGGAGGCGCAGTCGGGTTTCAGGAGGGGTCGTAGTACGGCAACAGCTTTGCTGGATGTCACCGACAATATTCTGTCAGCACAAGACGAAGGTTTATGCACTATGTTGGTCCTGTTGGATTTCTCGAGGGCTTTTGACGCCATCAACCTACCCTTATTGCTATCCAAGATGGCGTACTATGGTTTCAACACTTCAACCATCAAATGGTTCAATAGTTATCTCAGTAATCGTGCCCAATTCGTTGAGGTCCGCGGTGTGAATGGTTCCACTTTGAGATCGCGTGTGAAACCAGTGACTAAGGGGGTTCCCCAGGGATCGATATTAGGGCCAACATTATTCATATTATATTGTGCAGATATCGTTAAAGTGATAAAAAATTGCAAATTTCACATTTACGCCGACGATCTCCAAATTTATTTCTCTTTTAGACCAGAAAAGTACGATGGTGCGGTGAGGTATATTAATGAGGATCTCAACAGAATTGTTGATTGGTCGAGTGATAACTGTCTCATTCTCAACCCATCTAAGACCAAATATATGCTGTTTGGAACAAATGGTCAGTTGCAAAGAATACCTATAAACGGCGCTAACTTGTTACTGAGGGGCCAGACAGTCGAGCGCGTTTATGATGCAAAAAATTTGGGTTTGGTTATGGATCAGGGCCTCAGGTTCGAATCGTACGTCTCAAATTGCGTCAGAAATTGTTTTTATCGTCTGAAAGTACTGTACAAAATGCGCCCGTACCTATGTGAGGAGTTGCGTGTGCAGTTGGCCGAATCTCTGGTACTGTCTAAATTAAATTACGCGGACACGGTCATCGGCCCCAGACTCCTATCGCGCACCAAACGATTGATACAGAGAGTACAGAATGCTTGCGCACGTTTTTGTTTCAAAATACCACCAAGGAGCCACATTACACCATATCTCAATAAACACAATTTGTTAAAAATGAAGTCACGTCGCAAGCTTCATCTGGCCTGTCTCCTCTTTGGTGTCATAAGAACCAAATGTCCGTCATATCTCTACTTGAAACTCTCGTGGGTGAATGCACATCGCCGGCGAGAGGGTAGGCGTTGTGCGCAGCAGCTGGCTATACCGCAACACAAATCTGCTGCATTTAGGGGTAGCTTCAGGTATGCGGCATCGAAGTGCTGGAACAACATCCCTCCGCCAATCAGAAATCTGCAAAGTATAAGTACTTTCAGAAGAAAGCTCAAGGAGTTTGTGCTTACTTCCCAAATCAGCAGCGCTGAAATAAACGCGGACCTGTCTTTTATTTGACCTATTTAATTCTAATATTGATTATTACAGCCGTCCCTGTTTCATCATATCTCAAATCATACATTGGCATGAGCTGTCCACACATTACACACATAACTCCACAATTATTGTAGCACATTATTAATAACTATTATATTTGTTAATAAATTGAACACACAAAATTAACTTGTCAAGTACCGTCATTATAGACACAATTATAGAACAATAGGTTGCGGTCACTGGTGACCGCTTGGTGTTTGACAGTTTAATAACAAAGTTTCTATACATAATTATGTGGATTACAAGTATGTGTTGCTCTCGTCCGTGCGTCACTGCAGGGGTGCCAACTGAAAATCAGTGTTGGGTGCTCATTGTGCCCAGCTTTATGCTGAGTTGGTGACCCGTTCGGATTGGACATGTCCGCCAACACCGCGCACTTGAATGGCTTATTGGCTTGCTTTAGTTTTAGTTTTAGTTTTATAATTTAACTTTTATCTTTTAATTTTTCTGTTTTTATGCTTTTTTTATATTTATGTCTTTTCTGGCGTGCATGTCTTATGCCGAATAAACATTTTTCATTTCATTTTTTTCATTTCATTTCATTTCAATGCTATTTGCACCAACCAACTGTTGAACAGTTTGGTTAGTAATTAGTTAAATGCCTCGTTGGCCAAATGATCGTAACAGCCTGGCAACCCGAGACCAAAGTATTACTGTATATAAAATTCTCAGTAGAAGCACGGATTCTGGAATTGTGCCAGGTATATGGCAATAGGCTCGCCCCTATTACACGGGACTCGTAATATAATTAGTGAAAAGTGGGTGCTACATTGTACAGGAGCATTAAGTACCGTAATGTGCATCTCTGGAATACCTACCTACCCCTATAAAGGGGATAAAAGGCGTGATGTGATGTTATGCGTCAAAATATTCATTATATTTTAAGAATAATCTTCTTATTTATAGACAAACTTTAATGATTTTGTAATTTAAACTCTAGTAACTGTTACTAGACTATTCAGTGGCCTTAGCTATTTAAAAATTCAGGTTTTCCCACCAATTTTGTACTCCAAGTCAGCGGTATAAATAAATAACAGATCAAAAGGGCATATAGACAAAAATGTGTTAGACTGAATAATGTGTCACTGCTATAATAAAGAAAAAAAGAACAGACGCTATTAAAGATGGCGGATGACAGCTGTCAAACGTTTATTCACAATCAAAGATCGTTATTGAGATAGAAAAAAATCAATAATTTGATTCACGTTTCTTAGACAAGTTGTGTTAAGAAATTACTTTGTATGTAAATATTTGATTTAGAAATCTACATTACACGTAGTAAATAAATTACATTGTTACATGTGTATATAATATCACACCTGATGGTCCACAAAGGGGGTAATACATAGTTTGTAGAAAATAGGGTGTGAGAATGTGCATACTCCACCATACTTCATGCTACAAAAAAAACAAAAATAAACGAAGCTGTTTTGTTAATAATAATAAACTCTTTAATGTATAACAATCACGCAAATTATATACAAGAAAAAGAAATGTTATCATCTATTGTTCAATAGGCAACCTTATCGCTTATCAATCTCTTCCAGGCAACCTTAGAATCCATGTAAGTGTAGAAAAATCCATAAGCGAAACTCTTCTTTAACAAGCAAAAGGCGTGAAGCGTCACGTATTTACGTAATATCTTTTAAAATTCCCTTTTATGTCTTATTCCTAAAACATATTCTTAAACATTTTCCTTATAATTTATCCATTTTTCCTCTTGATTTCATTGCGAAGTAACGGGTTTCATTTGCTTTGACTTAATAAAATTTCACTCCGCATTATAGACTTGTGAAAATTAAATAAAAAATTCTGTTTA